TTTATACAGGTTTGCCTCCAAGTCATGAGTAGGACTGGCACACTTGCTTCTCAAATGTGGCTTGATGTTCGGCAGGCAGAGTAGTGTTGAGAAATTTTTTGTTTGTGATTACCTTTTTACATGAAGGCGCTGCAGCCACTTTATACAGGTTTGCCTCCAAGTCATGGAAAGGATTTGGCACACCCATTTCTCAAGTGTAGTGGAGTGTTCCATGGATGGACTTATTATAGTATTTCTTAATACATATATATAAGTATCTTCTATATAGGATTAATAAATATAAATGGTATGCAACCTGATTTGGAATAATAATAAAAAATAATAATTTAATTAAATAAAATATATTTAGACAAGATCTGACTAGTTAAAAAATAAAAATTAAATACGTAATTTATTTTATATACATATGTATAATATATGTAATTTTATTTGTTTAATAAAAAATTTTTTTAAAATATTTCTATTTAATAAAACTTATTAAAATCATTAAATTTATCTATATTTTTATTAGACAAAAAATTCAATTTAATTTACAATAAAGTAATATTGGTCTATGAGATTTAATTAAAAATTTCTCGTGATTTTTCAAAATTCTTTACGTGTCTATCACGTGACTAACATATAGTGACATAATTCATTCGAAAGCAACTTAAACTCTGCTCAGGTACTTTAGTCAGTACGTTAATAAAATAACTTGATTTATTATTTATAATAGTTATTTTTTCTTCTTTACAACATTTGATGGTGATGGTTTTGTCTGAATAATTTCGTCAAATTTTCTTTTCAAAATATGTACCGTATCACTATTATATTTTGTTTTCACAGTATTTTCCACTTCGATTTTAATGATCATCTATAATAGAATCAATTTAGATCAATTAAGAATCAATAAAAGATGTTCGTAAAACGGAACTTACCATAAATTCTAGTAACTGCAATATATCATTTTTCATCATAAAAATCTGATTCATATTAGAAGGAATATTTAAACTTCCATATTCATCATATATGTATACGCCATCTTTCCACATAATAACCATTTTGATCTCTAAAAGGTAACCAAATATTCCAAAAATAGCACGATCATTATAATTTATGTCTCCTTTTCCCATGGCATGTAAAATTCTAGCATTTAAACAATCTCTCATTTCTCTATATAATTTGAAAAAATCTGTTGCTGATTTTGTGAGGTCGGGTTTAACAGGAGATCCAGCTTGTTCTCCAACAAAGATTTCTTCACCTGTCTCCCACATCCACGCCAACAAGTCTGCATATTTTCCATCAACCACTGTATCTATAGCATGATTATGTGCATAATTTCTTCTGTATTTAGAAGCAAGGACAGGGACTTCCATACTAAGAATAAAAAATGAATTTAATATAAATCAATAATAATAGAATAACTCGATTAAATCCAATACTTACGCCCTCCAATCAAGACCCACAAATTCTTGTAATGCTCTTGAGAAGAAACGATGACCAAATTCTGCCCAATAATGATGCTCACTGGTATTCGGGGCACTGATATCTGGGATTAGTTTTGAGAATGATTCGAGCCTGCAATATAAGATGTTATAAATAATAGGCAATAAGTAACAATAAACCTCAGTAAACACTTACAATGGTAGCATAACTCGGTTCAAATATTTCTTTATTCTTATTAGTTCTTTATTATCTTCCTTTTTTACGACTCCCAGCTCTTCTGTAATACTAATCCAATCAGATATATTTTTTTTTGATCCATTTTCAGTTGTCTCCTATGAAATAATATAATCAATAATAGTCATAAATGTCTAATATATACTATAGGATATTATTACCTTAAAATATTCTTCAACAACATTACGCCAATCTTCTGGTAATTCAACTTTCCTCTTTGGTTTTTTTGATCGTAATTTTATATAATCATCAACTGACAGGAATTTCGAAAACCCGCTATCTCCTCGAATATCCATTACATTATCATTTGCGCACCTATATGTCGAGAAGATATTAGTTATAAATTATAAAATACACCCTAACCAGTTCAAATATTTAAAATACTTACGAAAATGGATTGTTTTTTTCTAATTTTTTAAATTTCATAAAATGTGGAATAAATTCCTCAAAGTGCTGTTCAACGTAAATTATTGAGTATTTATATATGCATTAAAAATTAGCAATCTTCAAATAAATACTTTAGATTCATCTAATTTCGCCAAACTTTTAGCAGACATTCTTAATATATTTTCATAAATTGATATTTCTTGGTTGTATTTGTTACTGACAATTTGATGAGGAGGAGTTCGAGGTCCATCTGTACAATTAATAATAATTTCAAGAATAGTCAAGTTTAGATAATAGTACCTGAATATAACATCTTGCACAGAGCCTTTGTTTATTAATTTACCATAATCAATCTCTGGTGATGGTTCTTTTCGAATGGATGAAGTATTAGACTCATCTTCTGTGTAATTATCACTAGATGTTTCGGGATCATCATCAGTGTAATCATCGCTAGAGGCTTCAAGATCCTCATGAGTCACATCAAGAACTGGATCTTTTTTAGTTTCAGTTTGACCACTTGATTTCATCTAAATAATATGACAGAAAGTCAAAAATGTTAATAAGTTATTCGTTGCTTAAGGGAATTAAGAACCACTTAGCCTCACCCTTTTAGTTGGTATCACCACTTCAACACT